GAGTGTTTCACCTAAGGCATATAGGTTCTTGAGAACAAAGAAAAATTTTCCTCTACCAGGTTATTATTAATTAGATATTTTATTGCTGATAGTTACTTTTTAATTATTTACATTAACAATATTATCATACATAGTTCTAAATAACTTCTTAAGTTATTTTTAAAACCTTATATAATAACATTATATATTATAAAAATGTCTAAATGCTCTAAATGCTTATTTTAAGGTATGTCTACACTTCGAGCATGGGCTTCAAAATTTTCTTTGAATCCAGGTTTACTTACAAGCGTAATGTCACTCATGCAAGCTAAGGGTAAATAATAGAAAAGTTAAGAAAATAATTTTTTAACTCTATAATTTGTATTTTCAAGGCGAGTCATTTAGTAAAACAGATAAATTAACGGTTTTAAGTTTTGATGAAACGTACATATCAAAAAGAATCTGTTTTGATAAACAAAATGAGCAAGTATTGGGCCCATATAAACGTGTGCAAACTGTGATTGCTCGAGGTAAATTATGAAATTAAAATTTCTAATATAATCAGTTTTGTTGATTATCGTTCATAACTATAGGTTTAGTGAAAGATTGGAAGCAACCCATATATTACAATTATGATACCAATATGACAAAAGAATTGTTATTCGATATAATTAAAGAGCTACACAACATTGGTTACGATACTATAGCGATAGTCAATGATATGGGTCCATCCAATATGGGATTGTGGAGAAATTTAAATATATCAATAACTAATTCATCATTTGAACATCCGTGTACCCAGAGAAAAATCCATGTTTTTGCAGATGTTCCTCATTTAATGAAACTTTTAAGAAATCATTTACTTGACCAGTATGTATTTTTGAAAATGATAAAACCATGTAACTAGGCTGTTATTATTTATATATATATTTTTTTTAGAGGGCTTGTATTACCAAATGGAAAATTTGTTGGAATAAATATATTTCAGGAACTTATCAATATAAATTCAAAACATGATTTTAAATTTGCATACAAAGTCTCTGATAGACATTTGTTAGTTGAAGCACCCGGGAGAATGAATGTACGATTAGCTGTACAGCTACTATCAAATAGTGTTGCAAAGGCAATTGCCTTCTGTGGAGAACAGCAATATATAGATGATAAATATAATTGGAGAGATGTAAGGGTTATAGTTAATTTTAATTAATAATTAAACTTAAGCTTTTTTAGAATTTTTTATTTAATATATTTTGATACATAATTTTGTTTGATGATAGGCTGCAGAAATGATTTCATTGATCGATCAATGGTTTGATCTATTTAATACACAGCAAAAATTTGATAATGGTACAGAAAGTTATGGACTAAATTTAACAGATCAAAATGAACTGATTGATAAAATGAGTAATTTTATACTGAATATGAGAGTTCACAAGAAACAACATTTGCTCCCATTTCAAAAAGGTTTGATACTACAATATTTGTTTTATGATATAACGTATTCATCTGAATATAATATAAATCACAATTTTTTAAGGAATTTTGATATGTAATATATCTTTAAAGAATTTGTTGGTGGACTTAAAAGAATTACACGGAATTTCTTATATTTTAACCCGAAAAGTGAATAGTGATACAGTGGAAAATTTATATAGCTTTTTAAAAGGTATGGCAGGAAGTGCAAGTTCAAATATAACTGCCCTAGACTTTAAACATTGGTATTTATATAATTTTATATTATTGAAAATGTATAGAATTAACATTAATTATTTAATTTTTAATTGCTTCAGCTTAAGATGGTTTATTCTGGGGAAGCATTCGAATGTTGTGTTCACAAACAATACAAACACTGAACAGAGCATTGAAACAAACTTATTAGAAGAAAACGACTGCTTAACACGAACAATCATAACCGATTCTAATCTTGATGAAAATGACCAAACAGTTGTCATTGATGATGTAGCCAATCTGGAATCTTCTGTTGGAGTTCGGCAAATAGTAGTTCCAGAAACATATTTGGATATTTTAGAACAGTTTGAAGTACCTAATTATAAATATATTAATATAAATAATAATGGAACAAAGAAGGTTTTAATAATTACTACTTACCTATGTATTTTAGCTAGCCATTGAAGAACCACTTGACAGCATTGAGGAGAATTGTGCACAATATGTAACTGGTTATATAGCAAATAGGTTTTCTGAAAAGTTTCCACAGTTAATAGGCACGCATGATGGCGATTTAAACAATTGGACCAAATATATGTCTAAAGGCAGCTTGAAGATTCCGTCGGACGATTTATTTAAAGCTGTAAAAATATTTGAAAAATATTTTAAACAAATTCACCAGGACAATTTATCCAATGAGCCAAACATTTTTAAAAAACTAATGAACACTGTAAAACCACATATTGAACATTTAGGAATACCTGAAGAGGTTATTCAATGTATAATTCGAACTCGAACTTATATAAGATTAAATAATCTGAACAAGAAAATTATGGACCAACAG